AGACAGAGATGGTGTTTTTCAGACTTGGAGAAGGGAATGAAACATCTAGGGCCCAAGACCTGAAAGTTGGTTTTTGATCTAGGCTAAGACAGATTCCCAGAATTAAAACACAAGGTAGCAGAAGTCTCTTCTAAGAATTGTACATCTAAAGCTGAAGTAATGCTTTAAGAGCCTCAGTTGGCATGAAGCTGATGTTCCATTAGACACCCTGTCTAAAATGTATCCAGCTTCAGTCATAGTGCATCTCACTGCCCATGCCTGTGCTGGATTGCCCAGGATAGACTGGGAGGCAGAAACTAAGTCTCAGTGTGGAGCAAGGAGGGGGTCAAAGCATTTGATCCTCAAGAGCCTGTTCCTCTTCAGAAGAAAACATACAGATGTGATAAGGGACACTATTGGAGCTGACTAGGAGAAGGTATGCCAGGAAAAGAGAACTTCATGTGAAGTCATACAAGGAGGTGGGGCAGGGAAGGGGGAAAGGGAACTGTTAGAAGAAGAGGAAGTCAGACATAGGCTCTTCATCTTTTGGTGGTCTTGTGTGAGTGTGTAGACACATCCAAACCCGTATCATAGATTTTTTAAAATTTTATTATTTATTTATTTATTTTATTTGAAAGAGAGAGATTGTGAGAGGACCCAGAGAGCTCCCCCATCTACTGGTTCACTCCCCAAATGCCCACAACAGCTGGGCTGGATGAGGTTGAACCCAGGAATAGAGAACTCAATCTGGGTCGCCTGCTGATTGACAGGGACCCAAGTACTTGGTCACCTAAAAGTTATGTTTCCTTTTTGACTTTTGCAAAACGTTGACATAGTAATAGTTCAATGATAAAACTCTCAGAATATAATTTGATACCAAGTGACATTCTAACACAATACAGTAAAACAGAAATGTACAAAAGAAATTCCTATTTTATTATTTTAAATGGTATAAGTTAAAATGGTATAAGACAATTCATTGATGCATCTCCCTTGCAATTTGGGAAAATGCATTCATTTTTCATGTAGAAATATTGGTTCCAACACAAGGAGGCAGAGATTGATCTTATTTCCTGTGCCATATTGTGAGTGTCAGGAGTTAGCCTCAACTTTTCTGCACTGCCGAGCTGTTTCTCCCCAGTGAAGCTGGGAATAGCAAGTTCCCCACTCTATGGAAATTCTGAAGTGATCTATCTCACGCATTGCACAATTAGGTTCTCACTACTGAGTCCTCAACTTCCATACAGGTCCACCAGGTTTTTTGATGTTCCGTGTGTTGTTTTAAGAGGCTTCGCCTTACATCTTCCTTTCAGGAATGTTGTATCTCTGACCACAAACCTGAAAGTCACCACAGTAAGCAAATAAACAAAACAGGCTTATTCTTTTTTTTTTTTTTTTTTTTTTTTTTTTAGCTCAATGGACTTTATTTTTTTTAATTTTTTTTTTTTAATCTTTTATTTAATGAATATAAATTTCCAAAGTACGACTCATGGGTTACAATGGCTTCCCCCCCCATACCGTCCCTCCCACCCACAACCCTCCCCTTTCCCACTCCCTCTCCCCTTCCATTCACATCAAGATTCATTTCGATTATCTTAATATACAGAAGATCAGCTTAGTATACTTAAGTAAGTATTTCAACAGTTTGCTCCACACAAAAACATAAAGTGAAAAATAATAGATGATTTTTTTAAATGATGATGAAATCAGATCAGACCTATTGTCATGTTTAATCCCAGTGAGAGTCAAGTTGGGAATTGATAATTTCTTTCTTTTTTTTTTTTTTTTTCTTTACAGAAGATCAGTTTAGTGTACATTAAGTAAAGATTTCAGTCGTTTGCACCCCCATAGAAACACAAAGTGAAATATACTGTTTGAGTACTCGTTATAGCATTAAGCCTCAGTGTACAGCACGTTAAGGACAGAGATCCTACATGAGGAGTAAGTGCACAGTGACTCCTAAAACAGGCTTATTCTCTTCTGGGGAATGAAAACCCAAGAGTGAGTAGTTTTTTAGCCCTTTTGAGAAAGAGAAACAGAAAAAGAATTGTTTTTACCTGCTTTCATTCAAAGAAGTACACTGACAATACTCAGATGATTAGAAAGACAATAATTTTTCATTTGCATCTAGTATTAGAATTCTTAAAAGATTGCTTAACATACTTGTCAAACCAATCAGGCCCTTTTTGAAGGATTCATCTTTGACTACTTTTATAGTTTCTTCTTTTCAGGTGTACAGTAAAAGGGTTAATTTTGCCTGTAGAGAAATCTGGCCTTGGCCCTTGGCTCCTGGGAAGTAATCCATAAGCTTTGGAGTATGTTGCCTCATTAGAAAGTCTTCATTTACCAGGGACATTGAGCCATTCCAGAGAGTCTATGGTAACAATCTGAATTATAGTAGGAGATTTGGTTTGTATAGCATCAGAAGGAACCAGAGACTAAGGTCAGCCGTGGGGTGGTTAGCCAAATGCCAGTCAAAATTCTGGACACCAAAGCTTGGGAGAGCTTCCCTAGTTGTCAATACTCCATGTATATTGTTATATACCTTTTCTGGGAGGAGTAAGAGCTGTCTGTATAACTCTGTTGGAATAGGATAACTGGAATTTTGTGCATGATCCTTTTGTTTGGAAATCCCCTGGATCCTGCCATGTCTACCTCTTCCCTTGATTATTTTTTTTAAATATTTACTTATTTATTTGAAAGTCAGAATTACACACAGAGAGAAGGAGAGGCAGAGAGGAGTGCAGGGACCTTGGTGACTCAGGGAAATGCAAATGCCGTTTCTAGGGAACTCACTCATTCTTTCAGCACTCAACAATATATTAAGCAACTGTGAAGGAACAGGCCCGGAACCAGGCTCTGGGAACCCCAAACTAAGGGGAGCACGACTTTATGTTGTAGAGCTCACGATTAGGCAGAGCAGTGTGGGAACAAAGGGCAGTTATTAAGTGGTAGAGTTTGTTAAAGACCACAAGGCAGAGACACAAAAGTGGTACACCTGCTCCCAGCTTAGGATTGTGAAGCAGATTCTTAATTTGTGCTATTTGGATAGTCTCTTCCATCTGCCAGGTGAGGAAGTTTACCCTTTCTTTTTGTATCATACTTTGAGCACAACCTCCCAAGGTCAAGAGCATTGTCAGAGAAACTCTGAGGATATTCCCTGGGGATGAGGGCTTCCCTTTCGGAGAAGACAAATGATAGAAGAGATGATAACCATTAGACCAGCTTCAAAAAGCTAAATAAACAAAACCTTATCTATATCGGATACCTTACTCCATTGGATAGCTCTAACAAAATGGGCAGCTCATGAACTACATAAACTCACTTCTCACAGTTCTGTAGGCTGGGAAGTCTGAGGTCAGAGTGCCAGGGCAGTCAAGGTCTGATGAGAGTTCTTTGCTGGGTTGCAAAGTGTTTAATTCCAGCTGTGTCTTCACACAGTGGAAGAGATGAGCAAGCTCTCTGGGACTTTTCTGAAATAAAGACAATCATTCTACCCATGAAGGCTCTGCTGTCATGAACTAGTAACTTCTCTGAAGACCTCACTTCCTAATAATTGTGACTCAATGTCAACTTGAGTTTTATAGTGACAGAGTTTTATACACATGGGCTCAGGAATAATTGCTCATTTGATCCTGAAACCTACCTCTTGAAGAAGGGAAGTCAACTATTGATGATCCTGCAGAGCAGAAAGTTACCTTGGCCAGCATTACACAGCTGAACAGCAGCTCGAGCCCAGGTCTTTGACTCCAAATCCAAAGCTCTGTCCAGAGCCCCACTGCCAAGGCCTACAGCCTCTCACCTCTGTGCTGCTTCCAACAGGCTCATTGTAAATGAATAAAAGAATGGGAAAAGAGAAGAATGGTGGACTTGAAGAGAACTGAAATAGTTGCTGCTAAGAGGAAAGTGAAAGAAATAGGCACGAACCCTAGGGTATGAAGGCAGTAACCCTGCGCTTGAAGCAAAAGGGAGTGGGATGTCACTGCCCCTGCCCCTCATGGAGACCTCAGGGGTCCAGAGCTGCCTGACCTTTCAGGAGGGTGGACTCCACGTGTGCAGAGGGACGGGAGCAGAAATGACAGCACATGCTTTCTGGGTGAAGTCCAGAAAGGGAAGAGAGAACTACCGCCAGGAAGGTACAAAAAAGCATAGCATATGGAAGTATGAAGGACCTCATACTTGTGCAAAAATTCATAAATCATGAATAATCTTTCATTGTGTGCATTTTTCCATGAATTTTGAAGATACCCCCCCCCCCCCAGTACAGATAGAAAGCTTGGAGCAAAAGTAAATTCTTATAAAAAACATGAACTTGAATGTACTAAAACTTGGGTGTTCAACTTGCACAGAATCCCAGGCCTGTTAGATTTTTCTAATACCCCCAGTTCTGGGGCTCGTGTTGTGGTATAGTACCACATATGAGCGCCAGTTCAAGTCCCAGCTGCTCCAATCCAACTCTCTTATACGGCCTGGGAAAGCAGTAGAAAATGATCCAAGTCCTTGCCCCCCTGCATCTGCGTGGGAGACCGGGAAGAAACTCCTGGCTCCTGGCCTTGGAGTAGCCCAGATCCGGCTGTTGTTGCAGTCATCTGGGGGAGTGAACCAGTCACAGATGGAAGATCTCTCTCTCTCTCTCTCTCTCTCTCTGCCTCTGCCTCTCTGTAACTCTGACTTTCAAATAAATAAATAAATCTTAAAAAAATATTCCTAGTTCTTTGTTCTCTTCCCATGTCCTACACAGGGTTCTGGCTCTCAGTCAAACCCTCCCAACCCTTCTCCCCAGTGTGGGAAAATGGCTGTGTGGTCCTCATGTTGTCTCTCTATATTGCTAGTAGGATGGAGAGAATTGGAAAATGTCTTAGGCATCTGCCCTTTGAAGGAAGCAGCTAGGCTCCAGCGCAGGGAGGGATCAGATTCTGAAGCTGGTTTTGTGGGTCAGAGTGAGCCCCAAGGACCCGCCCACTTGATGCAAACTTTGCATCAGCTATGGGAACTGTCAGACCAGGTCCAGGGACTGGGGCTTTCTCAGAGACCTTGCCAGCTTGCAGCAAATGTTAGCAGCTTCAAATTGAGGAAACTGTGGCTGGACAGGCAGTGACACGCTTTGCTACCACAGCCTTGCTACTGCCTGGTGACTGTTGAGCCCGTGTACAGCAGGGTGTCTGGCAGGGGAGAGGAGCTACCTGACTCCTCTATCCTTTGAGAATGTTGGGGCCACCAGACCCCTCTGTCCTCACCCTCACCCTGACCTTCCTCCTGCTCTTCAAACAGCACCAGGGCCAAGGTAAGAGCCCCAGCCTGGTGTGGGGGAGGGGGCTGGCATGGACCACGGGTTCCACAGCTCAGTGAGATCAGAACCCAGAGCCTCCCATCAGACCACCTGTAGGGTCACCTGGAGCTGGGATGCTGTCAGCTCCTGTGGGTTCTGACAGTGGATCGGGGAACTGAGAATGGCCTGTGCCCTTGCCATTAGCAATCCAGGCAGTCTTGGCTGAAGCAATCGCTTTTCACTGTCTTCAATCTCCCCTTCTGAGAAGTGGGGAGGAGACCTCCTCCCAGTTGCTGTAAGAACAACAAAGGAAATCTCACCCTCTAATTGTGGGATGAGAGTGGCAAAGCAGCCCCAAGGAAGCTGGAAGGTTCTGGAGCCCAGAGACAGGCAGGTAGACCACTGGGCAGGAAGGCTGAGTGGGAAGAGGGCAGGGGTGCTGGGGCAAAGCCACTGGCCAGGATAGGGGTTATACCCAAATGCCCAGTGCTTTGGCTCCTCAGCTCTTCCTGTAACCCAGGGGTTGTAGGAGCCCGAGAATTATTAGGGAAATGTTGGCTTGGAGTGGAAGTAGGAGAGCACAGTATTAGAAAGCTACACAGCAAAACTAAGGCTGTCAATAGGGCATGCAGTCTTCCAGGGCATCCTCAGGGGATCCAGTCCAAGGATGCTCCCATATTTTTCCAACTCTGGAGTCCAAGGTATTCTGAAGTTTTGATCTTATGTTTCAGGTGAGCGTCTCAGGTACAAGGGCAGGGCTGGGTGGGTACAGAGGGGGAAAGTGAGACGGAGGATGGTGTTTGTCCAGAAACTTGTGCATTAAAGTCCCAGCCCCAGGTCCCGGTTCATCATGAGCCCCTGAGGACTCACATCCTCCAGGAAGACATAGTCTAAGCTTGTGTGGATTCAGCATTTGTGAGGAATACAGACAGCTTTGGGAATAGCATGGTGAAGAACCATGAGCAGGGAGGGATGCTTGGAGCCCCAGGGCTCCGTGGGTGGGCAAGTGGGACTCAACAGCCCTGGTTGGGATTTGGTCTAAGGAGCTTAAAAAGCACCTCAGTCAGTTGAGAGAGGACTGATGAGTTTGGGGGTTCAGGGGCAAGAGTGACAGAAGGGACGAGGCTGTGTGATAGGGGCATGGCATGTCCTTCTTCCCCACCATGTCCAGGGGTACAACACCGTCTCTGCATGGTGGTGGCAGATCTGTAGCACAGTGCAACCGTAAGTGATTCCTGGAGTGAGGGAACAGGGCACATGTCGTCAGCTCTCCTCTCCTCCTTCCATATTCCGTGTCTGTGGAGCTGGCCTAATGTGAGCACCTGGAGTTGCTCTGCTTGCTTTCATTTGTAAACTTCATAGTTGGACTGGATTGCAAAGTTCCTGAGAAGCTGAAAGAATAGTGCAAAGGACCCTTGTGTTTCCTTCGCTTATGTTTATTCAACAATTACCATTTAAAATTCTCTTTTTCTTCAGAACCTTTTTCATAAACGTGGCCGGCCTGAACTGACACAAGTTAAAATAGTCTTGAAAGTCCTGTCTTATTACAACACAATAGGACAACACCGGAAGTGGGGGCAGGGTTTCGTCTCAGTTCTTTTCAGAGACTGGGTCACTTATCTATACACAGGTGGCTCACTGACCTGATGCATTAAAAACCAACTGGACAAATACATGAGAGAAGCCACTGTAGGTATTAAGCTTGTAGGAAGGTTGCTATTCAACAAATGGCAGCTTGATGGGTGGAGCTTCCCATCTACATCCTGCTAGGGCTTTAGGAGATGGTGAAAATGTCAGAGAGACTGCAGGATCAGACTATTTTCATGGTGTGTTTCTGTGGGTACATATATCCTTAAAATTAATAAACAGTTTTCAGACTATAAAAACAATCTGACTGGCAAGGCACCACTACTAGACATACAGTGGCCATGAAACCTGCACACATGGCACTCACACAGCTTGCCTGTTCCTTAGCCATAAAGGAGCACTTGCTTTTTGGGGGGGTGATCATTGTGTTATCTTGAGACATGGGATCATTCCTTTTCTCTGGACTTTGCTAGGTGAGGTAGCAGTTGATTTGCGCCCCTGAATCTGGATGTGACAGCCTTGAGACCATCTGGCTGTGTCCTGGGGATATGGGAGGTGGCTGTTCCCTTAACGTCTTTATAAGGTCATCTATAGGGCTCTTTCAGGACTACATCCTGTTGGTTTTCACAAGCTTTTTGGACCTGGACTCCCAAGCAGCCAGCAGACCTTCGGGGGTGGGGGGAGGGTTGCCTCTCAGAGCAGTCACCCAGGGTAGCGACGAGGGGGCACAGGGACAGAAATCAGCTGAAATGCTCCACGCTGGCTTCGCCTTGCTCCATCTCATGCAGGAAGCTGTAGAACATGCAGGAGGAGAATTTAATCCTACATACAAACTTTCAATATGATTTTCTTTCTTAACCACCAACTTTGTCAAAAAATACTTCCCACTTTCTCCAATTCGCTGTTCCCAGATGTCACGCCAAACTTCCACTCCGTAGCTGTAAGTTGGTCATAGCGAGAGTCTTGACCTGTGGCGCATGGAGCAAGGGCGGACTTACGCTGCTTCCACTTTTCAGAAAAGAAAGCGGCTTTCGCCTAAGACCCCGGTGTGCAAATCTGCCCAGACCAGCTTTGCTGTGAGACTCTTCAAGCCACCATGGGGACAGAGGAGGTGGCTTTTCTCAAAGCTTCGGAGTGGGCCCAGGCTGATCTGATTGGAGGTGGCAAGTTTAGAGGGCAGAGCAGGAAACTTTCCCGCCTCTTTAGGCTCGCGAGGAAGTGGAAAAGCACTTCTGGCAGCTCTGAGTGCTGCTGCGTGCCGAGCTCCTTCTGGGGAGGCACTTTGCTGGCCATGGGCACTGGGTCATGGGTGCGGTGCAAGCATTGCACGGCTCTCACCAGCCCGCCCGCGCCCTGGAGCTGCCCGCGTGCCTCTCTCAGCTTCCCTGCCCCACCGCAGCCGCTGTCTCCCTGCGCTTTTGCAGCCGCACTTTGACCAGGGTGGGTACCCCTGCGCTCCTCCCATTTAAGCATTAAAATTTTTTTTTAATTTTAATTTTATTTGAAAAGGGAAGACGTAATGGAAGAAGAGAGGGAGAGGGAAAGGGAAAGGGAGAGGGAGAGAGAGAGAGAGAGAGAGAGAGAGAGAGAATATTTTCTATTCACTGGTTCATTAAACAAATGCCCACGATAGCTTGGGCTGTTCCAGGTGGAAGCCAGGAGCCTGAACTCAAATGTCCCTGATAGGTGGCATACTTGGGCCATCACTGGCTGCCTCCCGGGATGCACATTAGCAGGAGGCTGGACTGAAAACAGAGGCAGGATTTGAAACCACAGCCTCCTATGTGAGCATCCCAAGTGGCATCACAACCATTGTGCAAAATGCCCACTCCACCTGTTAGTGACAGTTTGTCACATTTGCAGTAATTTTTCCCTCTATAAACGTTCATATAAACATACATTTATTTTTCTCCCCATATATGTGTGTATAAATGTATAATAATAATAATTTTTGCTGAACCATTTTAGAAGTTGCAGGTACCATGGCTTCCTTACTTCTAAATATCTTAGCCCTTGTGTCCTACAAGCCAGGACTCTCTCTCATAACTGCAGTACAATTGCCAAAGTTATAAGTCTAACACTGATACTATCAAACATGCAGTCACTGGTGACCAGCTTTCCCTGTAATGCACCTTCTGGTATCTTTTCCCCTGACCCAGGTCCTAATCAGGCTCATGTATGGCATTTGGTTGCTAGACCTCCTCTGTCATAGTCCATCTGTTTTTTTTTTTTTGTTGTTTTTTTTTTTTTTTTTTTGACAGGCAGAGTGGACAGTGAGAGAGAGACAGAGAGAAAGGTCTTCCTTTTGCAGTTGGTTCACCCTCCAATGGCCGCCATGGCCAGCACGCTGCGGCCGGTGCACCACGCTGATCCAATGGCAGGAGCCAGGTACTTATCCTGGTCTCCCATGGGGTGCAGGGCCCAAGTTCTTGGGCCATCCTCCACTGCACTCCCTGGCCACAGCAGAGAGCTGGCCTGGAAGAGGGGCAACCGGGACAGAATCCGGCACCCCGGCCGGGACTAGAACCCGGTGTGCCGGGGCCGCAAGGCGGAGGATTAGCCTAGTGAGCCGCGGCGCCGGCCCCATAGTCCATCTGTAACCACTCCTCTACCTTCCTTTGTCTTTTGTGACATGAGTGTTTCTGAAGAGTTTCACAGCAAGATCCTCACTCTTGGTTTGCTGTTCCCTCATATGGTTCAGGTCACATGCATTTCGGGCAGGAGTAACAACACAAGAGGCTGCTACCCTTTGGCTCTCTCTCCACTCAACTTTTCTCTATGGCGCTCATCTTTATATAGTGTACCACAGAGTTCACTTTTTATTTTCTGTCTCCTGGCGTCTTTTTCAGCCACTGGAATATGTGATGTTTGAGACCAGGACTTGTCTATTTTGTTCACTGCCACACCCTCAGCATCCAGAATGTTCCCTGGCACAAGGATACAGTCAATGCTGAACATCCGCTCCTCTACTCCCATCCCTTTGCTGAGTGTATCTGAGCAACGCTGCACCAGGCCCTGGGCCAGGTGTTGGGGGTTCAGTGGTGAATGTCCACGGCCCCCTTCTTTGTGGAGCCTACGCTCTATCACCTGAAGGACACAGCACCATGCTGAACACACGGGTGCTCAAAATAAATTATTTTTAGCCATAACAGAGGCAGACAGATGTTTTTGGGGTTGGATATATTGGGGAACAGGGGCCAGAGAGTGGGCCTGGACTCTCGCATTCATTTTGGAACTTAAATTCAGGTGATGATTGCCCAATCTTAGGAAGCCCCAAAGAACACACTGAAGTCTGTGGCTCCTCAGGGCCTTCAGGATCTGGGGTGAGTTTTGCTGGGAAAAAAGACTGCCATTGTCCTTAATATTTTAGCTCTAAGTGTTGCCAGCTTTTTCAATAGATTGTGTCGAAACTTTCATTTCTTAGGGAG